GAATTTGAAATATCGCATCATCTATGAGGCTCACGACACGCCACTCAGTGGTCATCTCCTTCGTGAGAAAACGTACAACACTGTGAGTTACCACTATTGGTGGCCCAAGCTGTACAAGTGGACGAGCAGCTATGTGCGCACATGTGAGACGTGTCAACGGGTAAAACCCTCTTTAAATGCGGCTGCGCCGCTGGCCAGCTTACCGGTACCCACTGGGTGCTGGCAGTCCATGAGTTGCACTTTATGTTTAGCCTGTTGAAAGATAGGGCGAGCAAAACGGGTGTCGTGGTATTCGTCGACCGGTTGAGCGAGATGGCTCATTTGGCGGCGGTGCCGGACACCATCGCCGTGGTCGGTACAGGAAAGCTGTTCGTAGATCGTGTTCTCCGACAACACGGACTCCCAGAGTCGATTGTCTCTGATAAAGACCCCCATTTCACGGGAAAAGTTTGGTCGACATATCCTCAAGGTGCCAGGCACTAGGTTGGAGATGTCGACAGCGGATCATCCGCAGCCCGATGGCCAAGCCGAAAGTATAAATCGCGTCATCTAAGACGTTATTCGCAGAGTCTGCGCTGAGACGCCGAGGCGCTGGAGCACCATGTTGCCACTCGTAGAGTTTGCGCTAGACAATGCAGTGCATTCGTGTATCGGCTACACGCTGTTCTACGTGAACGGGCAAGTTCACCCTCGCGTCCGCTGATGCCGCTATCCCATGGCTCAGAGCGCGATGGGGGAGGAAAAGCCGAACGGCTAGCTGATGTCAGCCCCCTCACCATCCGCAAAGTGGTCGATGACTTCTTGTCTACCAGACTGAGTGTCCTACGACGCGTTCGCGATGCGATGGCAGAAATCCAACAACCTGCAGAAAGAATATGCAGATGAAAAAGGATGAGGCAAAGTTATGGAGACCTAGTTTTATTAAACATTAAAAACCTTCCTACACATTCAGCCTCTGCTATCTTCCGGACGTAGCTTCGTCCACGGTTTATTGGGCCGTTTATGGTTGTGGCCAAGCAAGGCCTAGCGTATACGCTAAACCTTCCCAAATGAATGCGCACCCACCCGGTGTTTTACGTAGTTTTGCTCAGGCCGTATCGGGATCCGGCGCATGTGAACGCGGAAGTGTTGGCGCCAGAGCGGATCCACGGGCCGTCGGCCACCCAGAAACTGAACCAGCAACCGGTTCTGAGCGTGGAGTGCAACAACCTCTATCTCCATTCGAGCAAAGCATTAAACCGTTGCCTGCAGCGATGCATTCGCTTGCACCACGGCTAGGAGTCGCTCCGACAGAGCGCGGAAGTCCTCGAGGCGGGGCAGCCGGCGCACGACGCGCTCCAAATCATCAAAAGCGC